AAAAAGGGCAGTTCAAATAAGTTGATTTTGTGATACTATTGAGGAACTTAAGTTATATTGAGGTTTTATATAGTTCTAAAAATCCCCAAAGTGAATTGAAGTTAGACTCACTTTAATAACAAATATTGCATAACACATTTGATGAATGATAATATATATTATAAAAACATAGTATAATAGGTAGCTCATCTACCAAAAATTAGAAATCAGCCTTTTACATAGGCAGGGATTTCATGACCAAATCACCAAAAGCATTGGCAACAAAAGCCAAAATAGACAAATGGGACCTAATCAAACTCCACAGTTTCTGCACAGCAAAAGAAACAGTCGTTAGAGTGAATCGGCAACCAACAGAATGGGAAAAAATTTTTTCAATCTATCCATCTGACAAAGGGCATATCCAGAATCTGCAAAGAACTAAAACAGATTCACAGGAAAAAAACAAACAACCCCATTCAAAAGTGGGCAAAGGATATGAACAGACACTTTACAAAAGAAGACATATATGAGGCCAACAAACATATGAAAAAATGCTCATCATCACTGGTCATTAGAGAAATACAAATCAAAACCAAATTGAGATACCATCTCATGCCAGTTAGAATGGCGATCAATAAAAAATCTGGAGACAACAGATGCTGGAGAGGATGTGGAGAAACAGGAACACTTTTACACTGTTGGTGGGAGTGTAAATTAGTTCAACCACTGTGGAAGACAGTGTGGTGATTCCTCAAGGACCTAGAAATAGAAATTCCATTTGACCCAGAAATACCATTACTGGGTATATATCCAAAAGATTATAAATCATTTTACTATAAGGACACATGCACATGAATATTTATTGCAGCACAGTTTACAATAGCAAAGACTTGGAACCAACCCACATGCCCATCGATGCTAGATGGACAGGGAAAATGTGGCACATATACATTATGGAATACTATGCAGCCATCAAAAACGAGTTCATGTCCTTTGTAGGGACATGGATGAACCTGGAAACCATCATTCTCAGCGAACTGACACAAGAACACAAAATCAAACACCGCATGTTCTCACTCATAGGTGGGTGTTGAACAATGAGAACACATTGACACAAGGAGGGGAGCATCACACCCTGAGGTATGTTGGAGGGGAAATAGGGGAGGGACAGCGAGGGGTGGGTAGTTGGGGAGAGATATCATGGGGAGAAATGCAAGATATAGGTGATGGGGAGGAAGGCAGCAAATCACACTGCCATGTATGTACCTATGCAACAATCTTGCATGCTCTTCACATGTACCCCAAAACCTAAAATGTAATAAAAAAAAATAAATAAAATAGATACCAAAACAAATAACCAGGACAACAAAATGTAGGGGTATTTAGATAATGCAAGAAGTAAAATAAATAATAAACTGTTAAAGACATCTTCAGTGAGAGAAGGGAAGTTATGTGCTTATGAAATAATACAGAGTCCTTGAAAATTGAACATATAGCAGGAGCAAAAACTTAAATAAATGAGTTGGAAGATGAAGAATCTTTGAGGAAGAAGAACAAAAAGACAAGAAGATGGAAATTGAAGAGGAAAGAAATAAGGAAGTTGTTGGATCACTGCAGAATGTCCAATATCTTCCTATAATGTGATACCCTCCATGGCAAGGATTTTGTATATTTGATCATTGCCTAGAATAGAACCAGACACACAGTAGGTCATCAATAAATAGTTCTGCCAGAAATCAATTTCTAGAGCCTAAGTATCCACTCAGAACAGAATGGGGAAAGACTTATGCCAACACACATGATTGTGAAACTACAGAACATCAGAGATAAAGGGATCTTCAAAGCTTCTGGAGAGGAGAAAAAGCACATATTTAAGGATCAAGAGTCAGACTGGCTTTGAACTTTCAAATAGCAAAGTTGCAAACATTACATACCAGTTAGGAGTCATCCTGTGCTTGTTATACATTCTTTCAAATGCCCAATGATACAAAGAAACGTACTTCATTCATGCCCGATGACAGAGCAATCTTGAATATCTTGCAAGATTATACCTTATTTGCAAGCACCTACATGAACTAAATTCTTTCAAAATATTGTCTTCGAAAATGATTAGCAAAGCAAGTTCACGTCAAAAGTTTTATGGCTTGATATTAACTCTTTGGTGCTAAATTAAAATGAAACCCATTTATTAAAAAAAAAAGAAATCAGCCTTTTAGGTAAAATACTATTGGGGCAACACAGGATACTATCATGTTATTAGGATTTTTATCAGTAAAAGATTAAAGTTGGCTGAGTGTGGTGGCTCACGCCTGTAATTCCAGTGATAGGAACAGGAGGCAGAGAAATTCTAGGCAGAAAGGGCGAGGTCCCTGATGAAGCCCCACCCTCCAGCCTGGAACTGTGCCCCAAAGTGAGAACATGCATTTCTGTTTCCCTGCTTGAATGCTGCCTTTTCAGAAACCACACATGGCCCATTCCACCCCCATCCTGTACCCAGAAGAACCCCTGACTCAACCAGCAGAGAGAAGAGAAGGGGAGAGGAGGAAAGGCAGCTGTACAGTGGAGGCTGCAGTTTGACGTTGGAGAAAAGTAGCTTGACTTGAGAGGGATGGCTGACCATATTGCTTCAGAGAGGAGTCCAGCCAGGGACATCCGGATTCTAGGGGAAGATCACCTTCCCACTCCATCCCTCTTCCAGCTTTCCTTCCCACTGAGAGCCTCTTTCATCAGCAATAAACTTGTCCATGTTTACCTCCCTTCAATTAATTTGTGTGACCTGATTTTTCCTGAATGCCAAACAAGAGCTTGGGTGCCACAGGTGCGGGTGCAAAGCTAAAACAGCACCATAGCACACACCCTCTAGGGCTTCAGGGGTTGAGAGCTGTGGGCTGAGTAAGCAAGGCACTCCTGTCATGAGGTCTGGGAAGGGGTCAAGGAAAATTTTGTTTCGCCAGCACTTTGAGAGGCTGAGGTGGGCCTCACTGGAGGTCAGAGGTTTGAGACCAGCCTGGCCAACATGGTGAAACCCTCTCTCTCTAAAAATACAAAAAATTAGCTGGGCATGGTGATGTGTGCCTGTAATCCCAGCCATTCAGGAGGCTGTGACACTCGAATCGCTTGAACCTGAGAGGCAGAGGTTGCAGTGAACTGAGATTGTGCCACTGCACTCCCGCCTGGTTACAGAGTGAGATTCGTTTTTTTTGTTTTTTTTTAAAGCTAATTTTTTTTTTTAAAAAACATTAAAGCTAATGTTTGGACTCACAGCTTTTCTTCAGTCAAAATTTGAATAGATTTTAAAAAGTTCAAAGTCGAATTCACCCACCACAAAATCCCACCCACCACATTGGAATACTATTAGGATATACATACTTTATTTAAATTTGCCTGGTTATGTTGGAGAAACATCAGTTTTTACTTGATTCTTCTGTTGCATGATGTATTTATTTTTTGAATCATTTTAGTTTATGGTTTTGATTAACTTAATATAAAGAATCAGAATCTCGTATTTTAAAATTTGAATGTATCTCATCCTGTTCCTCTTTCTACTGAGTAAGGAATCCTTTCTTATAGCAGTCCTCGATCTGTTTGTCAGTACACCCAGTTTCATCAGTTGCTGTTTGCCCCTCTTTTATGTTTCCTCTTGTGACCACAGAAAGACTTTCCATCTCATAAATCTCCTCATATTCCTGAGAGGAAATTGAGTGTGGGGCAGAACAATCATACCAAATCATCTCAGAAGTCACTGGAAATCAGGTGTATTGATTTTCCTTGGGTTAATCTTTCCTTCCAGGTTCAGTGGGGTTGGAAAGGAAAGGTGGGGTCATATATCATGTGATTTTACTTCTGCCTAAGATACTTAGAAGATAATTTCTTCATCCAGAGCATAGATTTAGCAGTTTCTTACAGAATGAGAGGATATATGTAACAGATGTTTGAGCCAATTTACCCACATTCTATGATGTATTAATAAACATTTTTTTAACCTCAGTCTAAAATTCCATGTAAGTAAAGTTGAGGAAAGAGTTGACAGTCATCAGCTTTGTAGTAGTGTGTATGCTATTTATTGGGAATTCCATTTACAAACAAATAATATTTGTTTGTATACTATTGTATGTAATGGCATATAACATTGGCCTGTGATCATTTGTGAAAAATTTACTCCCATATCTGAACTCTGGCTCCCTAATGAATTTCACATTATAAATATACATACCAAATATAAGATTTAATGGTAAAATATAAATGTTTATTCATCCAGTACCTTTGGAGGGACACATAAAAAACTGATCATTGGTTGCCCCTAAAGGAAGAGAATACCATAGGCTGGAGGACAGAGATAAGAAGTATACGCTTTAATTCTATCTGAACTTTGTATTGTGTGTAAGAGTTACCTTAACAATAGTAAAGCACTAAAAAGCAAGTAAAATAAAAATGACAATGTAAAGAGTAACAAAGAATAAGTTAAATGGGAAAGGCAAATACTCTTTTAGTATATTCTAGCCAAATATAATTTGATTGTGTCTATTTGAATTTATTCTCACAATTGATAAACTCTCTGTATTGATTGATGGCTAAGTCTGATTAGTAATTTTCTCTAGATGGTATTTGTGTTTTAATATTTTATCATCTTATTGTTTACTCAACTTCAAGTAATAGAGACGAGTTGCCAGGTTTCTCTCTGATGTGGGATCTCTTCTTGATTTGGAATGCAAATCAGAAGTCTTTTTTTTGAATAAAGGGACCAGGTGACTTATAGGTATTCTTTCTCTAAATGTAACTAAGATAAGATTTTTTTTTTGAGGTGTGTTAATCTATATAAGTGGTAAAGAATTTACTTGAATCTTCTCCAAATTCTCATGTCTAAAGTATGATTGATTAACTTCATTCTAGGTATTTTATTTTGAAAAGAATGCAGCTTTAGCAAACCTCTTTGTACAAATGCAGTGGGATTAAGTTCATTTTAAGAAATTGTTACTGTATTTTAAACATTTACCAGTTTTATTTTTCTTTTTACCTTTTAGCCGGCCTCAGAAAGTGTGTTTGTGTCCATTTCTCCCAGCACACCCTCTGCCTATCTCTACCCACTTGTATATAATTCAGCATCCAGCAGAGGTAAGATTTTATAAAATACACCATTTCAAACAGAATGTGAGTCCACAAGAGGAAACACCAAGATAAACATACTTATCCTTACCAGCTCTTTAGCATTTCTGAAAATAAGTTGATGATAAATGCTTTCTCTTTTGGAAAAGATAGTTTCTTTTTAATTTCATATGATAGTATAGAATCATGTGCTCTAGAGAGAGATAACATTTCATAAAATCTATGTTACCGAATAGTATAGAAATTTAAAACTCCAACAATTTTGTGTGAAGAAAAAATAAGATTTTTGTGAGTAAAGAGCTAAGAAAATCATTGCTTTTTAAATTTTGGTCATAGCTTATGTTCCTCGATGTCTTTTCTTGCTATAGTAGAGGTAACTTTGGCAATTTTAGTCTTACAGTGTGAATGTATAAATAAATTCTTGGTTTATTTTAGATGAATAGAAGGAACATGTATATTTTATAATACATGTTATATGTAAAGATTTTAAAATCAATACTCTCTTGTACTGGTAAAATTATGCATATGTGCCAGTGTTTATGTGTGTTTGTAACTCTTGATCAGCTGTGTAATGAAGCGGGGAGGAGTCATAGAAAACCATAAATTATAATTAATGCAAAACTACTCAATGCATACTATGAAATGTATTTAGTGCAAACTATAGTTAAAAGTCTTTCAGTATTTAGGAACTGAGTACATCATAGACCCAATCAGACTTTCTAAGAAGATATAATTATTTTTTAAATTTCTAAAGTCTGTATCACTTGAAGACTTTAACAGAGACATAAAAGAAATTAGCCGGCCAGGCGTGGTGGCTCATGCCTGTAATCCCAGCACTTTGGGAGGTTGAGGTGGGTGAATCATGAGGTCAGGATGATACCATCCTGGTCAACATGTTAAAACCCCATATCTACTAAAAATACAAAAATTAGCTGAGTACTTGTAGTCCTAGCTACTCAGAAGACTGAGGCAGGAGAATTCCATGAACCTGGGAGGCAGAGGTTGCAGGGAGCCGAGATTGCACCACTGTACTCCAGCCTGGGTGACAGAGCAAGACTGTCACAAAAAAAAAAAAAAAAAAAAAAACACAAGAGAAATAAAACAAAGGAAAGTAATCTTTTCTCTCTTTCAAATGATAAAACACTTTTTTTTTTTTGAAGTAGAGTCTTCCTCTGTCACCCAGGCTGGAGTGCAGTGGCACAATCTCAGCTCACTACAATCTCTGCCTCCAGGGACAAGCAATTCTCATGCCTCAGACTTAAAAACACGTTTTCTTTTATTGCAAAGTATTCACTGTTCCATTTGGTGGGCAGCCTTTTCCTCAGTCTTAATAGTATCATGCTTTTGTCAGGATTTTGACAGTTTGGTCACTAGCACTGTTTTGTTACAGTTAAACTTAAAACACTGTACAGCTCAAATTTATGTAAAATGATAGCTTATTGACCATAGCAGTTTTGGTTAAAACCTGATGTTTGAGGCTAGCAGCAAACTTAAAGCCTGACTTTTGAGGAGGCCTGACTTTGGGAGGCTGAAAAAGGAGGATCATTTGACCCCATGAGTTTGAGACTAGCCTGGGCAACATTAGCAAGACCCCATCTCTACAAACAAATAAAAAAAATTAGCCAAGTGTGGTGGTGCATGTCTATAGGCCTAGCTACTTGGGAGGCTAAGGTAGGAGGACCCCTTCTGCCCAGAAGTTATAGGCTGCAGTGAGCTCTGATTGCAGCACTGCATTCCAGCCTGGGCTATACAGCAAGACTCTATCTTAAAAAACAAGCAAACAAACAAATCCAAACCACTTGACGTTTGATGGCAAATACTGTTTTCATTTTGCAGTATACACAATATGGTGCCTTTTCATTATTGTGTGGTTCCAGACATAAGATAGCATTTTTAATGTGGGTGTTTTCATTGATTTGTGGCAATGTTAATATTTTCTTTCTATTTTTTATAGAGCCAGGTTTTACTGTGTTGCCCAGGCTGATCTTGAACTCCTGGCCTCAAGTGATCCTCTTGCCTCAGCCTCCTACAGTGCTTGGATTGCAGGCATAAGTTATGCTTAGCCTTTTTAAAAAAAAAGTTTTCAAAAATGTATATATATATGTGTGTGTGTGTATATATATGTATGTGTGTATATATATATTTTATTATTGCATTTCAGGTTCTGTGGTACATATAAAGAACATGCAAGATTGTTGCATAGGTACATACTGGCAGTGTGGTTTGCTGCCTCCATCCCAATCACCTATATCTGGCATTTCTCCCCATGTTATCCCTCCCTAACTCCCTCCCCAACACTGTGCCTCCCTGAGCCCCCCACTAACAGACCCCAGTGTGTGATGCCCCCATCCCTGTGTCCATGTGTTCTCATTGTTCAACACCCACCTATGAGTGAGAACATGTGGTGCTTGATTCTCTGTTCCTGTGTCAGTTTAGATTCTCTATTCCTGTGCTGAGAATAATGACTTCCAGGTTTATCCATGTCCCTACAAAGGACATGGAACTCCTCGTTTTTGATGGCTGCATAGTATTCCATGATGTATATGTGCCACATTTTCCCTGTCCAGTCTATCATTGATGAGCATTTGGGTTGGTTCCATGTCTTTGCTACTGTAAACAGTGCTGCAGTGAACATACGTGTGCATGTGTCCTTATAGTAGAACGATTTATAATCCTTTGGATATATAACCGGTAATGGGATTTCTGGGTCAAATGGAATTTCTATTTCTGGGTCCTTGAGGAATTGCCACACTGTCTTCCACAATGGTTGAACTAATTTACACTCCCACCAGCAGTGTAAAAGTGTTCCTATTTCTCCACATCCTCTCCAGCATCTGTTGTCTCCAGATTTTTTAATGATCGCCATTCTAACTGGTGTGAGATGGTATCTCAATTTGGTTTTGATTTGCATCTCTCTAATGACCAGTAATGATGAGCATTTTTTTATATGTCCATTGGCCTCATATATGTCTTCTTTGTAAAGTGTCTGTTCATATCCTTTGCCCACTTTTGAATAGGTTTGTTTGTTTTTTTCTTGTAAATCTGTTTTAGTTCTTTGTAGATTTTGGATATAAGTCCTTTGTCAGATGGGTAGATTGCAAAAATTTTTTCCCATTCTGTTGGTTGTCGGTTTACTCTAATGATTGTTTCTTTTGCTGTGCAGCAGCTCTGGTGTTTAATTAGATTCCATTTGTCTATTTTGTCTTTTGTTGCCAATGCTTTTGGTGTTTCATTCATGAAGTTCTTGCCTATGCCTGAGTCCTGGATGGTTTTGCCTAGGTTTTCTTCTAAGGTTTTTATGGTATTAGGTCTTATGTTTAAGTTTTTAATCCATCTGGAGTTAATTTTAATGTAATGTGTCAGGAAGGGGTCCAGTTTCTGCTTTCTGAACACGGCTAGCCAGTTTTTCCAACACCATATATTAAACAGAGAATCCTTTCCGCATTGCTTGTTTTTGTGAGGTTTGCCAAAGATCAGATGGTTGTAGATTTGTGTCGTTGCCTCTGAGGCCTCTGTTCTGTTCCATTGGTCTATATCCCTGTATTGGTGCCAGTACCATGCTGTTTTGATTACTGTAGCCTTGTAGTATAGTTTGAAATGAGGTGGCATGATGCCTCTAGCTTTGTTCTTTTTGCTTAGAATTGACTTGACTACACGGGCTTTCTTTTGGTTCCATATGAAGTTTAAGGTGGTTTTTTCCAGTTCTGTGAAGAAGGTCATTGATAGCTTGATGGGGATAGTGTTGAATCTATAAATTACTTTGGGTAGTATGGCCAGTTTCATAACATTGATTCTTTCTGACCATAAGTATGTAATGCTTCTCCATCTGTTTGTGTCCTCTCTTATTTTGTTGAGCAGTGGTTTGTAGTTCTCCTTGAAGAGGTCCTTTACATCCTTTGTTAGTTGTATTCCTAGGTATTTTATTCTCTTTGTAGCAGTTGTGAATGTCAGTTCATTCTTTATTTGGCTCTCTTTAAGTCTGTTATTGGTGTATATGAATGCTTGTGTTTTTTGTACTTTGCTTTTATATCCTGAGACTTTGCTGAAGTTGCTTATCAGTTTCAGGAGACTGTTTGTTATGATTTCCATTCTTCTGCATTTGCTGAGGAGTGATCTATTTCCAATTATGTGGTCAATTTTAGAGTAGATGTGATGTGGTGCTCAGATGAATATATATTCTGTGGATTTTGCATGGAGAGTTCTGTAAATGTTTATTAGGTTTGCTTGGTCCAGATCTGAGTTCAAGTCCTGGATATTCTTGTTAACTTTCTGTCTCTTTGATCTGTCTAATATTGACAGTGGAGTGTTAAAGTTTTCCACCTATTATTGTATGGGAGTCTAAATTTCTTTGTTGGTCATTAAGAACTTGCTTTATGTATCTTGGTGCTCCTGTTTTGGGCGTGTATATGTATATATAGGATCATTAGGTTTTCTTGTTGGATTGATCATTTTTTACCATTATGTAATGACCTTCTTTGTCTCTTTTGATCTTTGTTGGTTTAAAGTCTATTTTATTAGAAACTAGGATTGCAATTCCTGCTTATTTTTGCTACCCGTTCACTTGGTAAATCTTCCTCCATCTCTTTATTTTGAACCTATGTGTATCTTTGCATGTGAGAAGGGTTTCCTGGATATAGCACACTGATGGGTTTTGACTTTTTATCTAATTTGACAGTCTGTATCTTTTGATTAGGGCATTTAGGTCATTTACATTGAAGGTTAATATTGTTATATGTGAATTTGATCCTGCCATTTTGATGCTAGCTGGTTGTTTTGCCCATTAGTTTACACAGTTTCTTCATTGTGTCGATGCTCTTTACCATTTGGTTTGTTTTTGGAGTGGCTGGTACTGGTTATTCCTTTCTATGTTTAGTGCTTCTTTCAGGAGCTCTTGTAAAGCGGGCCTGGTGGTGATGAAATCTCTGAGCAATTGCTTGTTCTTAAAGAACTTTATTTTTCCTTCACTTATGAAGCTTAGTTTGGCTAGATATGAATTCTAGGGTAAAAATTCTTTTTTTTAAGGATATTGAATATTGGCCCCCACTCTCTTCTGACTTACAGGGTTTCTGCTGAGAGATCCACTGTGAGTCTGATGGTCTTCCCTTTGTGGGTAACCCGACCTTTCTCTCTGGCTGCTCTTAGCACTTTTTCCTTCATTTCAATCCTGGTGAATCTGATGATTATATGCCTTGGGCTTGCTCTTCTTGTGGAATATCTTTGTGGTATTCTCTGTATTTCCTGGACTTGAATGTTGGTCTGCCCTGCTAGGTTGGGGAAGTTCTCCTGGATAATATCTTGAAGAGTGTTTTCCAGCTTGGATTCATTCTATCCATCACATTCAGGTACACCTATCAAACATAGATTACGTCTTTTCACATGATCCCGTATTTCTTGGAGGCTTTGTTCATTTCTTTTTACTCTCTTTTCTCTAATCTTGCCTTTTCATTTCATTTCATTGAGTTGATCTTCAATCTCTGCTATCTTTTCTTCTGCTTGGTTGATTCGGCTATTGAAACTTGTGAATGCTACGTGAAGTTCTTGTGTTGTGTTTTTCAGCTCCATCAGTTTATTTATATTCCTCTCTAAGCTGTTTATACTCATTAGCATTTTGTCAAACCTTTTCTCAGTGTTCATAGTTTCTTTGCATTGGGTTAGAACATGATCTTTTAGCTCAGAGAAGTTTGTTATTACCCACCTTCTGAAGCCTGTTTCTGTCAATTCATCAGACTCATTCTCCATCCAGCCTTCTTCCCTTGCTGGTGAGGAGTTGCAGTCCCTTGGAGGAGGAGAAGCATTCTGGTTTTGGGTATTTTCATCCTTTTTGGCTGGTGTCTTCCCATCTTTGTGGATTTATCTACCTGTGGTCTTTGTGGTTGGCGACTTTCAGACGGGGTCTCTGAGTGGATGTCCTTTTTGTTGCTGATGAAGTTATTTCTTTCTGTTTCTTAGTTTTCCTTCTAATAGTCAGGTCCCCCTGCTGCAGGACTGTTGGAGGTCCACTCTGGACCCTGCTTGCCTGGGGATCACCTGCAGTGGCTGCAGAACAGTAAGGTTGCTGCTAGTTTCTTCTTCTGTTATCTTTGTCCCAGAAGGATACCTGCCAGATGTCAATCTGAGCTCTCCTTTATGAGATGTCTCTTTGGTTATACAGGGGATAGGGAGCTGCTTGAGGAGATGGTCTGCCCCTTATGGGACCTCAAGTGCTGAGCTGTGAGCTCCGTTGTTCTGTTCAGAGCTGCTGGGCAGGTTCATTTACGTGTCCTGCAGCAGACTTCATAACTGCCTTTTCCCCCCAGGTCTCAAGTGTTTTAAATTTATTTTTTACCATTATTAATCTATGATTTAATTCGTTTATCATTGTGTGTGCTACAAATGTATTTTATGTGTATACAAGTACATCCCTACAGGTTTTCCTTCTCAGCATAGGAATTTCCTATTATTATTATTTCTTTTTTAAAGAATGGGGTCTTGCTATATTGCCCAGGTAGGTCTCAAACTCCTGGGCTCATGGTATCCTCCAGCCTCTGCCTCCCTAAGAGCTAGGACTACAGGCATGAGCCACCATGCCTGGCCATTCTCAACAAGGAAATTTTCCAATCTTCATCTAACTTATTAATAATGGGCTACCTGTGCTTAATTTCAGCACACCATTTTCAATAAAATTATATGCTAGTTTTTTCACTCTCCCATAAAAAAGTTACTAAAAACCATTTGGATAGGCTCTTGGAGGGGGCTTTGGAAAAAGAAGACTTGGTGGAGGAGATGATATGGAGGTAATATGATGGAGCATTTCACAGAGTAGGTATACATTATATGTTGGGTCTGACCCCACAGACCCTGACCCAGTGATGGTTGAACAAATATGCACTCAGACACAGATATCCAGTGAAAGAGCAGGCTATGGGACCAGGCCACTCACAGACACTGTGGAGGGTGCTATAAAGAGTCAGCAGCCCAAGCAGCCTGACAGGGGGGCCTAGGGGCCTTTACTTAGTATAGATTTAATGATAAAGCCCTAAAGCAAACACTATTTGTGGGTAATTAACTTTATGAATCTCCAGAGTATGTAACAGTTTTTCTCAGGATGGTCAAAGCTGGGTTTCTGGGGAAACAGGTAAGCAAACTAATCTGGATAAATTTCCTTGCACTCTCTTGTAACTTGCCCTACACTGGCTACCTTCAGCCATAAACTTCTTCCCAAGGTTTTGCCAAACCTTACAAGAGGGTTTGTATCCATTTTACAATTTTTCCCACCACCATGACTGAACTCCTATACATGTATATAAAATTACTTAAGGATAAAAACAGAAAAGTTATCTCAAAAATAACAAAAAGCTTTACAAGAAAGAAATCTTATGTTAAACTGTTTGGCCTTTGTGAACAATGTATATTTAGTCATGAAGATGCAAATACTGTTTATTGACTTAAATAAAAATATTAGATGTGGGAAGAAGGAGTGGTGTTGGAAAGCTAAATCCTCATTTGTTATGAGAGGCACTTCTTAAGGACTCTGGAACTAAACTGCGTGAGTTCAAATTCTTTTTTTTTTTTTTTTTTTTTTTTTTGAGACAGAGTCTCACTCTGTCACCCAGGCTAGAGTGCAGTGGCGAGATCTCAGCTCAATGCAACCTCTGCCTCCCAGTTGAAGTGATTCTCCTGAGTCAGCCTTCTGAGTAGCTGGGACTATAAGCACATGTTACCACACCTGGCTAATTTTTTTTTTTTGGTATTTTTCATGGAGATGGGGTTTCACTGTTAGCCAGGATGGTCGTGATCTTCTAACCTCGTGATCCGCCTGCCTCAGCTTCCCAAAGTGCTGGGATTACAGGCATGAGCCACCGTGTCCGGCTAAATTCTTAATAGTTCTGTAAACTCTGTAACTTTGGGCAAGTTAATTCATATCTCTGTGCTTCCGTTTTCTCATTAGTAAAATGGATATGACAGAAGATATATTTCTTTCTCTGTGTATTGCACTTAGAAATATGTGCTTTAATATTAACTGGTAGTTTTTAGATAATATCTGAAATTGATAAATCAAAAAAATAGGAAAAAACCCATATATTATGTGGATATATGGAGATGACTACCAGAAGAAATAACCAAAGGAGTTAAAATGATTGCCTCCAGGAAGTGGTAGTGGTACTGGGGAGTATCTCTGGGAACAACTGTGGCATTTAAAATCTTTTAGCCCTATTTAATTTGATATACATACATGTATTATTTTGATAAAGGTTTAGAAAGTGATTTAAGTCTGTGTCACAGTCTCATGGTGATGGTAAGGAGAGAAGAACATTATATTAAACATTAGAAAATGTCCTAAAACCACCTAAGACAGAGTAATCACTTGGCTCTATGGGCTTCAAGATAGAATTCTCATGGCAACAAGAAAGATGGTTTCCAGTGTTGGAAGCTAGAATATTGGAGAAACCATTCACGATACTCAATTTAATGGCATTTTCAGAAATGGCCACCAGATTTCTCTACTCTGAAGTTATTTTTTTGTTCTCTTTCCATACCCCATATTCTTTGGAAGCAAGGCCGTAAATCCAGCCATACTCAAGTGGGAGGAAGAGATTAAGTTCCATGTTCTAAAGGGGGAAATATTTACATTTATTATTTGGAATTCTTTTGTAAGGAAGATTTGTTTCTTCTCTCCCATTTATTTATTAAGTCATTATTTATATCATTCTGGACTCTTAATTTGTACTTTGGGTTATAACCCAGTATTGTGTTATTTATTTTGTTGCTCAAATTGTTCAATTTTAGCCATTGGGAGCTCTTTGAGATTGGCCTGTGTCCCTTTGACATGTCCCACTGTTTTGTTTTCCTTTTTTTTTTTTTTTAATTTAAATAAAGAGGCTATGCTGGGAAGAACCCATTGTTTCGTTTTCTGAGCACTTCCTTGTTTTTGAGGCATAAAGACCTAGGCAATTATCTTCAAGCTGACATAGTGCAAACTGTAATTACTCATGAAATAAAAAACTTGTCAGAATAAATGATTCAGTTTAGCTAAACACAAATTTACATTTAATAATCTTAATTATTATATATATTAATGTAATCTTCTTTGATGAGTAAACCTATAAACATAACCAAATAGAATAAAAAGGTGTGCTTGTGTTATTGTTAATACTGATAAATCAAATAAATTTTACCTCTTTTTATTAAGCTGTGGTCTTTAATAAAAGACTTGTGAAATTTATACATAAAGTCATAAATCAGATGTACATCATAAAATATTTAAAAGTGTGTATATCTAAGTAAAAATCTATGTTTTAATTCATTTTTTAATTAAAGGAAAACAAAGTATTGCGGACAGTTCCTCTACTAGCAGCGTGCCTCCCCCAGGACAAGTGCAAAGTAAAGATCGGTCGTCGCTTCAGTGAAGAAAGGTAAATTAACTGTTAGGGCAATGTAAACAATTCTTTATTTTTATACAGATCTTTAATAATCATTTCTTTCAGGTCATTCATTTCTTTTAGCTTATTCGTGTTCTAAAGAGTGGAAATCGTCAAAAAATTTAAGTTCTGCTAACCCCTGATCACACAATATAGTACAAGACAAAAACAAAACAAAATCAAATAAAAAAACGTTTCAACTAAGGAATGATAGCATTATCTGAATTTCATAGTAATATATGTTTAGCTTAAAAGGCAAATATACTTAGTGTTTATATAATTTTTATTAAAAGTGCCTTCTGGTTGGTACATGGTAGGGTTCTTGTTTTTTTTTTTAATATCTTCTACAACATTTTTTTTTTTTGGTAGGGTTCTCGTATTAGATTTAGTTCAGTTTTTTTTCTGTGGTGCCTAATATAGTGCTTACTCAGTAAATTGTTATTATTATTTTTCAAGGCAGGATCTCACTTTGTTGCCCAGGCTGGAGTGCCGCTGTGTAATTTTGGCTCAATGTAACCTCTGCCTCCTGGGCTCAAGTGATCTTCCCACCTCAGCTTCCTGAGTAGCTGGGACTACAGGCGTGAGCCACTGTGCCTGGACAGTAAATTATTATTTGCTGATGAATTTTAAATTAAAGCAGTTTAGAACTATCAATGTAAGTGTGGTAACTGAATGATTAATTTCAGCTTTTGTTAGAGTACATGATGAAATCATGGGGGAATGATTAAGAGACATACACCTTTTTTTTTTAAAACAAAGGTGTCCTTTGTAAATTTTTGCTTCCAGTATATCAGAAAACAGTTGGTTTTTATATATTAACCCTGAATCCAGTAACTTTCTAAATTCATCTGTTAGTTGTGGAAATTGTTTTGTTCATTTGTTGATTTGTTGGATTGAATTGTTGATTCCCTGGAAGTTTCTATGTAAGCAGCATTGTCATATGCAAATGGGATCATTTATATTTATTCCTTTCTGATACTTATCCTTTTTTTTCTTGCCTCATTGCAATAACTAACTTTAGTATAATGTTTATTAGAAATGGTGAAAGCCAACACCTCTACCTTGGTCCCAGTCTCTGTGGAAATTATTAACTGATATTGTCTGTATGTTTCTCCCCTCAAGCATTATTGAGGTATAATTTGTAACCAGGTTTTTTCTTGGGTGCTGGTGAGGCACAGCTTTCCTGAGAGAATGCTGTGGGTTCTTGTCCTCCAGTCTCTTAAAGAATAAGCGATGGGATCACTGCAGGTGCACCAGGAGCTTGTTAAAGTAAATATCGAACCCAAGAAGTGTTGCAGAAAGCTGATTTTATTTAGGTAGAGAAAAAAGAAGAGAAAGACTTCCATGAAGAGTGTGGAAGGGTTTCCAGAGGGGAAAATCCCAGAGGGGAAAGGGAGCTCCCACCATGTAGGAGGGGATTTCAGAGAGCTGGAAATCCACTGTGGGTGAAGGAGCAGGGGAATTTATCCTGGGAGAAATTCCCACCTTCCCAAGTTCCTCTGGCCAATGAAAGGAGTTCCTTTAAACTTCGGCTGGGGTGATTGACTCTTAGTTTCCTCCCGTACCCACGAAATTCAAACATAAACCGTTAAATCTCCCAGATGGAGAGAGATGGGAGCGGGACATGGCGCTGGGAAATTTTTGCCCTTAAAACTGTGCCCCCTTGTGGACCTGGAAAGAGAATACATTCCCTCATAATTGATAGATAAAAGTTATATTTACCATATACAGTGTGATGTTTTGAGATATGTATACATTGTGAAATGGTTACCACAGCCAAGCTAATTGACATAACATACCTCACGTAGTTACTTGTTCAAGACATTCTGTAATGTTCAGAATACTATAGTATGGCTGTGTCAGGTGAGACACAATGAGGAAGTGAAGCCAAAATGTATGAAAGGAAAGAAGTTTATTACACACATTTACCAGAGAGGTTAGGATGCCAATGTAAGGCCAAAGGGAAGTCTGGAAACAGCAGGAGATTCAACCACTGGGTGGTTGGGAAAGGGAGACCTGTGAGATTATGACTTTATTAAGGTCTGTGGGTGTTTAACCCTTAGGATTTCCCTGTGGGTTGTGAACTGGCTAGTTTAAAGAGAGCAGTGTGAAGGGGGAGCTTATTCATATAACTCTGGTTTTGACCTTTAGGTTTTATTGTGGTCAGCAGCTATGGGATGTGTTGGGTTTTGGATTAGTGAGGAAACAAGTAGGCTATATTGGCAAACACCACACAGGGAGGGAGAGTTTTAACTAGGCCAAAGGTGACAGGGTTGGATTACAGATAACTTATGTCAGGCCTAAAATCAATGCCAAGGCAATAACTGTATTAAACACATTTATAATAATAGTTTTACTTCTTTTTCTTATTTTTTTGCAGTGAGAACATTTAAGACCTGCTCTCATGGCTGTTTTCAAGTATACATTTACTGGAATAACCATGTTATACAGTAGATCTCCACATCTTCATTTTTGTAATGTTGTTTATCAGTTTCTAAAGTGCTGAGAGTTTTATGAGTGAGTGTTGAGTTGTGAAATGCATCTATTGAAATGATCATGTAGATTCTCTCTTAAATTCTGTTAATATAGTGGATTATATTGATTGATTTCTGCATGATCGTGCCACTTCACTCCTGCCTGGGTGACAGAGCAAGACTTTGTCTCAAAAAAAAAAAAAAAAGAAAAGTCTGTATTCCTCAGTTGTCAGATGTAGTGTTATACAAATTATCAATTAGGTCAAGATGGTTGATGGTGTTGTTCAAATCTTCTGTATTTTGACTGATTTTATGAGCACATTTTCTCTCAAATAGCAAGGAAATTATGTTAAAATCTCCAGCAATAATTAGGGATTTGCTTATTTTTACGTTTTGTTGTTTTGGTTTCTGTTTCATCTATTTGAAAACTCTTTAGGTGAATATGTAGTTAGTATTGTTATATTTACTTGATGCATTGGTCCTTTTATCATTATTACATGTTGTTGGAAAAATGCTCAACCGTTTTTCCTCTGCTGTGGTGTTAACACCACAAACTTGAACACAGAAGACTTCTGTGACCCCCAGATGTGTGAGAATTTCTCCCCACAAGCAAGCGAGCAAGCAGGCAGTCAGTTTTGAAATAACACCAGCTGGGTGTCCTTCAATCCAAGTCCAACTCTATCTAACTGGTGATAGTGTCATATCCCACAGGATGAGGGCTCAGTTCCCAAGACTGCCCTTTCCCCACTTCAGACACCATTGGCAAGTCTGGGCCTCAGGAACTTGTGACTGATCAGCTTCAAGTTGGGGCTTCCACAACTCTTGGTTTGGGTTCAGTTAATTAGAAACACTTAATGTTTAGCAGTTTATGATAAAGAATATTACAAAGGATACAGATGAGATATGTAGTACAAGGTACAGAGAAAAGAGTGGGGAGCTTCCATACCTTCCCTGGGACACTACCCTCCAGAAATGGCTGCATGTTCAGCTTTCTGAATCCTGCCCTCTTAGGTTTTTATTTAGGTTTCATTATTCATGATTGATAAAGCCGTTGGCCATGGGTGAACAACTTGGTGTTTAGCCTCTCTCCCTCCCCTTTGTCTTTCCAGTGACTAAACCCACCCTGAAGCTGTCAGTCAACATTAGCATACAAGAAAACAACACTTTGGAGATTCTAAGGATTTTGGGAATTGTATGCCAGGAAGTGGAAAGAAGACCAAATATATATTTCATAATAGCAAAAATGTCTATCTTTATCTCTGGTGATACTCTTTGTCTTAAAGTCTACTCTGTGTGGGTACTAGTGTTTATATGGTATGGGTCTTGGTTTTTAAATTTAATCTAACAATCTTTGTTGTTTAATTGGAGAGTTTATTTCATTTCCACTGGATGTAATTATTGACTTGTTTTCTTTTACATTACCAGTGAATACTGTATTGATATTTGTCTTCTGTTAGTCCTATCAGTTATTTGATCTTTTGTTCCTCTTTTATGTCTTCTTCTGTGTTATCAATTAATTTTTTTTAGCATTCCATTCTATTTATTTGTTGGCTTTTTAGGTATGCTTTTTGTGGTTTGTCTTTGGATTATACTATGTATTCTTACTTTATCACAGTTTATCTTGAATTAATAATGTTATACAATAAATATATAACAAAAGAACCTTACAAAAATATAATTCCATGCAGTCCCCTTCTATTTTATATGTTATTGTTTTCAAGTAGTTTACTTTTAGATAATAAGGGAAATTGGGTGTAGTGTATATAGGAATTTTCTGTACCATTTTTGCAATAATTGTAAATCTTTTTTTTTTTCTTTTTTCAGACAGAGTTTTGCTCTTGCTGCCCAGGCTGGAGTACAATGATACAATCTAGGCTCACTGCGGCCTCTGCCTCCTGGGTTCAGCAATTCTCCTGCCTCAGCCTCTCACGTAACTGGGATTACAGGCATGCGCCAGCAGGCCTGGATAAGTTTTTTTGTGTATTTTTAGTAGAGATGGGGTTTCTCCATGTTGGTCAGGCTGGTCTCAAACTCCTGACCTCAGGTGATCCATCCGCGTCGACCTCCCAAAGTGCTGGAATTATAGGCGTGAGCCACTGCACCTGGCCAATAATTTTGTAAATCTAAAGCAGTTATTTAGATACTCTTTGCTTTTTTTTTTTTTTTTTTTTTTTTTTAAAATAGAGACAAGGTCTCACTATGTTGCCCAGGCCAGTCTTAAACTCCTAGGCGAGAGCAATCCTCCTGCTTTGGCCTTTCAAAGTGCTGGGATTACAGATGAGAGCCACTGCACCCAGTCCTCTTTGCTTTTTATCAGTGTTTTGTAGTTGTTCACATTTAGGTACTTTACATATTTTATTAGATTCACGCCTAAGAATTTCATTTTTGGAGGGCCATTTTAGTGTTATTTAAAGCAATTACAAATGTGAATTTTTCATTGCTGGTTTGTGGGAAAGAAATTGACTTTTGTATATTAACCTTATATCTTGTGACCTTGCTGTTGTTCTTGGAGGTTTTTTT